AAGGAGCACATCCCAGTGGGTTCACCCCACCGCTCACTGTGACTTACCTGCCTGTGGGAGGCGGGAGGGCATGAGCGCAGGGACAGTGCCCTGCACAGGCGCGTGGGTGGGGCTGAAGTGCACAGGTGGCTGATGGGGACCTCATGCTTGCGGTCCTCTGGCCACTGATGGGAGGTGCGTAGGGGGACCGAAAGTGCCATTATTTTCTAACCAGTAAGAGGAGCAGGGACATGCGCCCTGGATTGGGTTCGGCAGCGTGGCTTTCTCTCCGGCTGCTGCCCAGACAGCTGCCCAGCTGGTCTGAAGGAGCGCGAAGGGCCGCTCGGCCTGGATGCCGCCACGGGAGGCGGTGGGAAGGGGCACATACAGAAGGGCTGTCCCAGTCGCTCAGGCAGCAGGTCCGCTCAGGGCAGGCTTGAGGCGGGGGAGGAGCAGCAGCTCCAGGATCCCCGTGTCCCAGGCCACGAGTGACTGTCTGAAGGGAAGAGCAGGAGCGGGGAAGGGTGCTCTCAGGGTGCACTGGGGGGTGTCCCGGCCCGAAGCAGGGGGTCACCAGTGGGGAGGGGGGGAGGGCGCTCTCAGGGTGCACTGGGGGGAGTCCTGGCCCACAGCCGGGGGTCACCAGCGGGGAGGGTGGCGGGTGGAGTCCCAGAGCTGAAGACCTGGTGGGATCAGGCCGATGGCTTGGGACTGGCTCCCAAAGGCCAGGCATTTGCCTGAAAAAAGGAAGGAAAAACAGAAAGAGAGAAAGAAAGAGGAAGAGAGGAAAGGGAGGGAGGGAGGGAGGAAGGGAGGGAGGGAGCTTTGAGAGCCCTAATGCCATACGACGCTGTCCTGTCCGAGAAGCCTGTGCTGAGAGTCGTCGGTGGGAACCAGCCGAGTGGCTGATCTGCAGGTGCAGTTGTGCGATGCATAGAGTCACCCCGTAGCCCCTAACCCCAGGCCGCCAGATAAGGAGGCTGTGGATGGAGAGACTCGCTCTGTCCACAGGAGACACGGTGGAAAAGCAGGTTTAGAAACAGAGTTAACCTCCAGGCAGGCAGCCCTGCTCCCGGGGCCTCAGCGTGCACCCCCATCCTGTGGGCTCAGAGGCCTCCCCCTGAGAATCCCGAGTTCACCTGGGAGCTCAGCCTGAGCGTTGTGACTGCGACTCCCAGACCTTCGCAGTGAGGTGTCAGCGACCTTGGCATTCTCAGTGGCCGGCGTGCATCGAAGGATCAGGAAATTAGGAGAAAGACCAGGAGTCATCACCACACGCTCAGCCCCGGTGCCATGGGCCTGGGTCTGGGCACAGTGCTGGTGTATTGGGTGCGTTTGTTTCCACCCCAGAGCAAAGGAGAAGCACGTTGAAGGCGCAGGGCCATGGGGAGGAGTGGCCCCCTCACTCCCAGGCTCCCAGGATGCTCCTGGGCCAGCGCACCCCCTGCCCCTGAGCAGAATCAAAATTCTCGGCCGCGCCCCACACCTGCCACGCAGGAGGGGGACTCAGCTCGCTGCCCCGCAGTGAGCTCTGGCTCCTGTCCTCTGAGCAGGCGGGGACAGAGCGGGACCTGGGGGTGGGGAGCACCCCGATGTCCCCGCGTCTGCTATGCACCACGTGGGCCTCTCCCTCTTTGCCCTTGGGGTTCGCAGAATTTGGGGTGTCTACGTGCGCTGAGCATGCGGTGGGAGAGGGTGAGGGAGAGGGTGTGTTTTCAGACCTGCCCTCTTTCTCGGTGGCTGGGTGACAGCCGGTAAATGTCATAACTTCTCGCCACTGCACCTCCCACCCCGGCGTTCAAACAGAAGGCTGACTTCCCGGCCCTTCCCACACACACACCCCCACCCCGTCCTGAAGAACCCCAACCTCGGGCTGTGCTCTTGGCTTAAAGATATGGGAAGAGACTGGGGAGGGAAGTTAAGTCCTTACGTTTACAGCACGTTGGGTGACATGTAAACACGTATAGATCATGTGTGTCCTGCTAACATCCTCATTATATCCTCCATGTTGCATTATATGTGAATGTGTAACGTACCCACCGTGTGTCACATGGGACAGGAGGGCCCGCTGGGCCTGGCCAGGGGACTGAGCTGAAGTGACGTGTTTGTGTTTGGTTTCTTGGTGGCGCCTGGTCCCCAAGCGTGTGGCTGCGGCAGGCACGATGCATGGCCTTTCTTCAAAACGCCACGCGTGTGCCGTGTATTCAGCACACACGTGCCCCTGGGCCACCCCCGGACCCCGACCCGGGTTCTTCAACAACACCCCTGGGCGCCGAGGACGGGGCCATGGGAACTGGCACCAAACCTGCTGCAAGCTCTGTGCCTTCGCTACCAGCTGGCGCTCTTTCTGAGGCAGAATCCTCCTGGTGCCCCCTCTGCCCCCTGACCCCCAGGCCCTCTGCGCCCCTGTCCCCCAGGCCCTCTGCCCCCTGACCCC